AAAATTTACAGTGAAAGAAAAGATAAAATTATTTCTTGAATGCGCATTCGCATTCAAAAACGTTTCTAAAATATGAAAAAAATCGGAAACTTGAATAAAGTATCCAGTTTGTTAATTAAGAATATATCCACCAGCACTAAGAATAAGCTGAACCTTTCCCGGAGCATGACACTGAAAACTTAAAATTCGAAGAGCTAATCTAAAAAGGCATTAATATTTCAGTGAATTGAAAAACATTATATCCTATATGTTTCGAATCTAAAAATTCAGAAATTGAGCTTTTTTTCCACCCTGTTAAATAGAGACTTAATACATATTAGTCCAAGTGACAGTACAGTAATTTTTTCCCAGATGACGTAACCTTTTATCGTTCCTTCACAAGTATATATCTGAATGCACGATTTGGATATTATTATGCCATCGAATAAAATGAGTTAACACCGTATTTTCAATTCGAAAAATTGTTGCAGACAGGGAAACGTGACTCCCACTGCAGGAAAAGTAACAGTAAATTACATGCATTTTAAGTTCTGCAAAAAAACGACATGCCTCAAACATCTCGCGAATATGAATTCGGGACGCCCTGCTGAAGTCACTGTCCCCGACCCGCTGAAGTGAATGAATGAATGGAACGAGGGAACCAGCAAATAGTAGGAATTCTTCCGGATGTTTCACTCGTTTCGTTTTCTTTGAATACATACAGTATCTTTGCAATTCTGCCCAAGGCAGAAAAAAAGAGTATACGATAGAGAGAATGACGGGAGAAGGGGCAAAAGAGAGGATGATACAGATGAGAAGAAAGAAAAAAAAAGGGGTCGAAAAGAGTATCACATACATATAACGACGAGGTCTTGGAACAGATCCAAAAAAACCGCCTGAACCTTGTTCAGAAACGACAGGCTTGCAGCTATAGTGTAGTGTCCTCTGCCTTCATCACAATCATCCGTCTTTCGTTTTCTGCTGTTCTCTTTTGCTTTTGCAGAAAATTCCTTTTCTTCTTTTTGCTGTTCTTTTTTTTTTTTTTGGCTGCAACAGCTGTGAGAGTGGCAGAACCTCAACGGATAATTTCAGGGCGAACCGTATTTTTGAAGGGGGGTATAAAAATATATTTCTTCATGTATAAGTATAACCCACGATTTCTGGCAATTTTAGATCACTGCGAGTTGGTGTCGAAATTTACCAGTACCACTCCTATCTCAAAAACACAGCACTGTATGCGAACAATCATAAATTTTTATTCATTTTTGTCTTCAACGAAACTGAAAATATGTCCTTTCCGTCCCGTCAAATTACGACGGTTAATATTTCCATAAGGAAAATGGTCTTCTTTTGCTAAAACGAATACGTGTAGCAGTAGAAAATCTGCTCTTGTAAACGTTTCGACGAAGTACAACTCGTTCTTTTGTTCAAAAAAATATTAAACGCCGAAGCGGAATTAAAAAGTGTTTCTTCAAGCTTTTCAAGTCGATTGAAAGCTTCAAGTCTTCAATCCAATTAAAAAATTGGCAAGGATATAAATGACCAGAGGATAATGGATCAATAAGCATTTGGTTTAAAAAAAAATCTTTATGGCCATCCTGACCAATAACTGTGACATTTCACACGACTCGACCAAATATTATTCATTTTTGTTGTTGCGGTGTTATTTTTCCACGGAAGACGTTATATTCAATCACGGATGGCTCCATGATATATTTCCTCTAAATGTTGAGACCAATACATTAAACATGTTTCATTAGAAAATATATCCAAAACCACAAAACTGAATGCAAAAATTATTCCTGCGAGGTTTTTCTTTAGTACGCTAAAATTCAAGCAATGTAAATTAACACAATTTGAAGTTTGACGCCCAACACATATTTATTGATCCATTGCCCAATAACTTCGAAATCGCAGATGACTACCCAATAACAGTCTTGGCATCGTTGCGATCGTATTTTTCCACGGAATCCATCGCTGATAGCGAAAACAAAATCAGGTCTTGTATGTCTAAGGATTTTCCCCGGGAAAATCACGAGATATCTCCTCAGAATATTTAATCAGCTTGCGTCCGAAGCATCTGGATGCAGGAAGGAATTGGGTCAGCAGACCCTACCTTTCATCAGCCTGCTCCAATTCCTGTGCACAGAAAAGACCCAAGTTGGATCATCCCATCCTGCATAACACATACAGGGGACATGTCATAATCAGGATACGGAGAAAGCAAAACGAAGAAGGAATTTTCTGCAGATTTGAGGCTCTTCTGTTTATCTTTCATTTTCAAACGTAAGTCTTGAAAATCCATATTGTAAAACAAACAGATCGAAAAATTAAATCATGGCGCTTTCAATTCCGAATAAACGTTGACTCGAGCTTTGCTGGAAAGAATTCAACGACAGTTCGTGCAATGGTCGCACAACTATTCCGATTTTCTGCGACTCAAATTTAAAGTCCCGAGCCAAAATATGCGCAAATAATTAAAAAAAATTAGAAGAGAGAGAACCAAAATGTTCTAAACACGATTGATTGGTTCTCCAAATCGATTCGGAGGTCAGTGATTATTCCTGAAGAATTTTTTCATCTAGAAATGAAAGAGAAAAAAGTTGAAAACCCTGTTCATCAGTTTTCGAATAACAACTATTTTTGAAAATGTGGAAAGATTATTTTATTATTCAAGTATCGGAACTCAAATTGTCCCGATCTCGAGACGTTGTCTTATTGTACAATGTACAATGTCGTCATTTTTTTCTGATTTGGATGGGCAAGGAAACTAATTCAACGTGCTTATTTTTTGCGAAGGCAAACCAACAAAAATACCCCCAAATAAAATTCCTGGAATCCACCTAAAAGTAACGCGTAAGCAACCAAAAAATGCACCCAAATATCTCACAGTGACTATATAAATTAACACAACTCAATTTCGTCTCTTAAATAATAATCCTCGTCTCCCAAAGCCCAAACTTTTACCTTCCCAGTAACCCGATTTTTTTTCCACAATAAACGAACTGTATACACCCAAGAAAAAAAAAGCTTATGCCTCACAGCCATAATCTGACCAGTGCCAACTCAAGACCCAGGTATCATAAAGATACTCATATCTTCTTAGTAACCCCCCATGCCAAGATCCGCGTTTGAAATCCTGTCCGAAACCGGATCATCTCCCCCCCCTTTTTTTTGCTGGTCTTCTCCCCAGTGTCAAGACTTCTATATGAACATTAGGAGACCGAGATATGTTCGTCGGACAGGAAAAATGAGCTGGCATTCAGGGCAGAAGATCATCGGGATTCTCTCAGTCTTCGCGGGGAAAAGATGATATACAATATCATTGGGAAGCATGGGAAGCCTCCTGATGTCAACAGAGGTATATACACAGTAGTATATGGAACTTACCGCAGTGTTGCAGAGGCTCTTCACAAAAGTACATAGCAAATACACGGTGGGTAAAAAAAAAAAAAAAAAAAGGTAGATCTCGAACCAGAAAGTATCTCCTGAACGCGTCAAGGAGTGATTGGGAGAAATTCTTTTGACGAAAACGACTGAGAAATTCTTCAAAAAGGCGGTTTCTTCACGATTCAAAAAAATTTTCCCGATTCACAGCACTTATAATTCTCACCCAGTAATCATTTCAATCAATTTGATCAACGCAGAATATTTACTTTCGATCGTATTTGAGATCTCCTCCATCTATTCCTGCTCTTATGAGCAATTCAAAATTTTAAATAAATTTAAGCATATTATTTCGAAGCGATAATAGCAAATACACGGCCATAATAATAATAGGCCATGTGCAGATATTGATGTACGTACTGAGTTTTAAAAACTGTCCGATTAATGTATAGAAGTTTCCCTGCGAGAGGTACTCAAGCTTTTTTACAATCGAACAAACAAGCTGCTGTTTCCGGATGCAAATGACAAAACATTTGCATGAACATGTCAAGAATCAGGCAAGTAAGAGACGCAAACACCGACGTACCGGTATTTCTTTTTGCATCTCTTTATACAGCACTAACAAATGGATTTATTAAAAAAACACCGTTAAAATTTCACACGCTTTTATTTGAACGGAAAAAAACTCGACATAATTCAAGAAATTTCACTACCATTCATAGAATTCTAAAAAATATCGTATTTCAGTTCAGCAGTCTATATATACAGTACGTCTGCACACCCTGTGAGGAAAATAAGATATTCTCTGGTCACAGTTAGTTGAAAGTTTCGAACTTGAGACTACCCTGACTGTCACAAGACAACGATCTGTATTAAACAAGTTGGGTTCGCCAAGTTGGGCAAAACTTGAGGCGGAAGTTCTGTCACGGCGTTCTGCGTCATTTGCTGAACTTTCAGGTCATGGAAACATGTCGTTGCGATGACCATTTAGTGTCTCATCTATCTTGATCTTACAGCAGACAAAAACTATTATAAGCATCTAACTTTTCTTATCGCAAGATGTCGAATATAGATGACTTATTGAACTTGGATAGTTTCAGATACAAACACGCGGTACAAAAACTCACCATTGACTCGATCGCAGAGAAAAAAATCCTTTTCTGGAAAAATACGACACACTTTTTGATTAAATTGGATTTCTCCAGAGTCAAAGAAGTTCGTTGATCGTACATCATGCTTCAAACATGTCACCTATAAATATCTGCTTCAGCTCCTAAAATACAACAGAACCTCGTTTATAACGAATCTCGTCATTGAATGTCGAATAATCGCAAACAACAAGTCGTTTTATATTTTTTTTAGGTCCCTGCCCAATAACCACAATATTATTGTAAATGATTTACTGTAGAACGTATTTTGGCCCAATTGGCTTCGTTGTAATAACGAGATTTTACTGTAATTCCGATCATTACATCATTATATAATCGCGAAAAAATTCGAATCTGCAACTTTCAGACTCGACTTGATAATTAATATTGATTTGGTCACGAAGCAATCGCGTTCTTTTCTAACATGCATTCCGATCGACGTTCGTCAATGACGGAACTCGAAAAAAGTTATCTTTGTATTGTATTGTACTGTATTTTGAAAAAAAGGAGCGAAAAAGAACTGAGCATTGCAATCATAAGCTACTGGCTGTACTGATACGCATGGAAATGATTTTATTCAAGATCTTCCTGAACGGACTAGTGTATTCAAAATTGAAGAAAAAAACAAGGAAAAAAGTGACAGGAAAACACGAAGCGTAAGATGACGAGAAGGAATAATTTTTTTAAAATTGATTATTCATCAGTGGAATAAGTGCCCCGACTTGATCAGACAGACGTCTGTTTGTTAACGGGTGAAACCGCCGAGTCCTTATTAATGCACCGGTCCACTTCGTAAAACCACTCGTTGGCCACACAGCGTCGCGATTTGTGTTTCTGGGTGAATACGTGGGCTGCTTTGTATGCCGCAAGTTTCCTGGCTACAGTCTCCTTGTCCAACGTAACCCCTAACAGTTTGAAAAGATTGGTACATTTTTAGGTATGAAAATAAATGCTACCATATTACACTTAATGCATATAACTAGTACAGAAATTAATTATTTGTTGTCTAACGAATCCATTAGAATTCGTGGTGCCGCAAGACAGATGAGAAGAACAGGCAGCAGCAATACAGCGAAAAAATATTGCGACCCTGCCAGGACTCGAACCTTATCTCGTCTGCCGAATTTCCGTTGCCCGCGCATTACGTCACGCGCGTAACGTTCAATTTTGAAGCGAACTCAGGCTTCAGCAATTCAAGTTTACCCCAACTAACTCAAGTACAGTTGAACCGCTTCAGAAGAGCTTCAAGGGGACAAGCTAAAAATCAAGTTATGGAAACAAGCATATACTGTATGTGCTGGAGGAAAAAACAGGATTTTCAGGAAATTGTAATTGGTGATATTCTGGGCCTCGAATTGCTTCCTATAGGAGTCGGCATTATGCTGAATTCGGGACAAAGGTTCAATTGTCCAAATTAGTCTATTTTCCTTTCAGAACACAGCAAGTTTAATTTTCGTATCGCTTTGTCAATAAAGTAATTGCCAAAAGGCCTCTGGAAAATTCAAGTTATATGCGTTCGAATGTGAAAGCCTTTGAGTTAGGGAGGTTTTTAATAATAAGAGGGATTTGAGACAGGGATACAAAATAAATCAATGCAGTCATAGGTAAAATGAAAGAAAAATGCAACTCACAGGTGTAGTTCCAGCGCTCAGCTCGCAGTTCGGACGTGTGGTTCAGCAAATTTTCAGCGGCTGTCATTTCCTGTTTTAAAAAAATGAAAATGAAAAAATACATAATATATAACAAGCTGTCGTCTGTCACGACGAAGAAAACTGAAGCTATGACGTTCTAAGCTACGAAAAGTAAGCTCGCTTATTGATCAGGTATTCTCCACATACTGTACCAGCAGATCTATAGTTAACTTGCTGACTATCCTACGCGCATTAAAGACTTCGTAGATGCATTAAATTTCACCAGACGATTAGAAATTATAAACGCGACGTTCGAGAAAATTAGTTCCCGATTTCTTTGTCCAATTTCCTGAGTGTAACACATTTGAAATATTCACTAAAAAGAAGAAGATTAATCATCAGAGATTCTTCCTGCATGTCTAACCGCGAAAGCATCAGCACCATAAGGAGCAGCCCGATCGTGAAAAGGCAGACTCGGCTTGAAAACCACTTCTTCCGCGTGTCGACACCGACGACTATTGACGTCACACTCGTCACTTCGTCTCATTCCTGCCCACGACACCGTCGACGATGATGGAAACGTTCTCGCGAATTCTTCCCAAAATGCCACGAAACTCGGGTTACCGGATTCAGGGGAAACAGCTTGATCCGAAACGCGGTTTTCCTCAGTTGTGACACACGTAACCAAAAGACTCAGGAAGACGACCTTCAACATCGTGACTAAGATTTTTTTTCTTCTTTTGCTCCTGGAAATGGTTTTTTTTTCGTGTGTTTCCGCAGATTTGCTTCTAAAGAGCGAGGAAAAATAGAGTATCGCGGGATTTTTTTCTAAAACATAAAGGAAACTACTTGTGAGTTCAGTTCATCAGTCCACACATTTTAGTTCCTTGTAAGCCTCTTGAGAAGCTTAGGAATACCGGTGAAAACCTTCAAAAACTCGTCCTCGCGGAAGTTTCCGCTTCCATGTTCTTTCTAGAGAAGCTAAGCTAAGCTTCGTTTACATCGAAAAATATAATTTCCGTTTAAATAGTACGAGTAGAAAACACTGTAAAGTTCTTTTTCAAACAATCATACTGGTAAAATATCTCATAATTCAAATAGAAATGTCAGTAAACAGTAACATAATCTTGTCCCAAGTGAATTCATAATCTTCGACCGTAATTTCTAATGATTCTGAACTGCTATCCGCACTCGGAAAGGCGTCTCGGAGTATTGCGAAATCGACAAATACTTTTAATTTCAAGCATCCATTTTTACGAAATTATCGGTCGCATTCACAGTTTATTTAAAAAGATAGCTTTATAGAGGCCGCAGAATAATGGGAAACATTGGAGAAAGAAATTGTGGCCAATTCCGCCACTAGTGTGAATACTGAACTGTATATCAAAATCGATTTAATTTTTTCCGCTCACTGTGTTAAGATATTGAAATGGCATAAAACTTAAATGAGTTTGCTAAAAATGCATGAAATACTGCACCGGAATAAACCGAAAAAAACAAAAAGGATATTTGCTTGGAAAAATTCCTTTGGTTGCTTCCCAAATACGCAGCGCAGCAGAGTATAAAAATTTGTTTCTGTTTTACAGGTACAGTATTTTCTCCGGCGTTGATAATTTTTTCTTCCACACTTTTCCGAGTAAAGGCCGCATGTCTTAGCCATTGCGGCCGATTCTCAGAATATCTTGATAACAGGCCTATAATAATGCATTGCCCCAGAAAGTGCACTGAAAAACTCGGGTGCATGCGGCCGAAATATACGAGAGAGAATTCCAAATGATATACTGTACGCCGTTTTAACTTTTTCTTTGCACCTGCAAAACCAGCAACTATATTGAAATCATTCATCTCCTCATGTTCGGCTGTAAACTTTTCGAGCAAATCCTTAATAATAAAGTTACTACTCTCTGTACGTCGGTTTTTCGTTCGTCCGAATGCACTTTTCCCTTCCCAGTTGCCCCCTATGCCCTCTGTCCTCCCTCCCACCCAGCCCCAAGAACTTTCCCGCCAAAAAACGCACAGGCGCGGGCACCCACCCCACAGACTCCCGCAAGCCCCGCCCCCTAACTCTCCCTCCTGGGAGGGTCAGTCTTCCTTGGGAGCTCAGGCAGTAGAAACCTGAGCATCCTGGTGAGAAGAAAAAAATGGGTTTTTCACTCTGGAGGGTCCGGGTTCAATCCCCAGGTGGGGACAAACTTTTTCCAGTACACTCTTTCTTTTTTATTGCTCTTTTCATGACTATTATTTTACTAAAAAAACATTATGGATGAATTCTAATTGCTTTACATATTTTTAAATTCTACAATAGGGTTCTATAACCAGATATCCTCATTATTTATTTAAAATTTTCTATGAATACCTTTCAAAATTTTCACACCAGAATATTGTTTCTTTTTGTGACATGAAGAGTAGAAAGCATGTAAATTATGGAGGTGTGCAAGAGGGTAATTGCAACAATATTCAATATGCTTAAGAGAGGGATTGAATATTAAAGTTTTACTTCATGGTAGGGCAGGTTGTAGTGGTGTGTAGGTTAGGCTGTATTGTAGTGTAGGGTAGTTTGTAGGGTGGGGTAGGTTTTAGTGTAGGGTTGGGTAGTTTTGTAGTGTAAGGTAGGTTGTAGTGTAGTGTAGGGTAAGGTAGGTTTTAGGGTAGGGTAGGGTAGGATGTAGTGTAGGGTTGGGTAGTTTGTAGTGTTGGGTAGGGTAGGTTGTAGTGTTGGGTAGGGTAGGTTGTTGTGTAGGGTAGGGTAGGATGTAGTGTAGGGTGTAGTATTTGCTATTGGGTATGGTAGTGTTTTTGGTATTATTTAGTTATTTGATTTCATTAATTCTACTAACCATTGCCCAGGTGTGGCTGGGCACCCCCTGACTGA